TAAAGTAAAAGTGAGAAAAAACAGAGAAGCTCATGGGGCATTTTAAGCTCTTCTTTCCTAATCATTCATTCTTTTATCTTCCACCAGAGGAGCTAGAGATCTGGATTTTTATGATGGCAAGAAACCTGACTTTGCTCAAATCCTTTTTAAGATTCAATTTAGAGCTTCAAGGGGGTTCAAGGGCCATCGGATGTCATTAATTAAAGGAGGATACAGAGAATGTACCTTTTTATGTGTAGCTCAGTCCATCTAGATGTTCTTCCACTTTTCTTGGAAACATCCCTGATGAATTTAGACCTCATAAGTGGTACAAGACACAGTGAAATCCCACATCAATAGAACTGATTGCAGAGCAATTCTCCGACACCCCTTGTGAAAAAAGATGGACAAATCGAGAGAGAAAATTGCTTTTTTTCTGACCTCTCACCCATCTAAAAGAACCTTGTGAAGTATGCCTACAAAGAAATAGATTGCTCATATAACCGTAAAAGATTATTTACAATTCCAAATCAGAAAAAAAATGTATGGAAAATGCTAATAAAAAAGGAAAGTAATGATTTCCGAATTTACTTTGACTTGTATTTCATTGCAGACAATATAAACACAAAATATTGAATGTTTTGTCTGGTCAACTTTATTTAATTTGTAAATATACATCCTTTTCTGACATTCAGGCCTGCAACCCAGTAATCAGCTAAATTTGTTAAATAATTATGTGATTTGAAACAGGTGGTTGTAATTAAGATTTGTTTCAAAACTAGCATCCAAGAACGTTCTAGTCCGTTAAGAGCAAAGATGGGCAGAGGATCACCAGTTTGCCAACAAATACGTGAGAAAATTATTAAAATATTTAAAAACAGTGTTCTTAAAAGAAAGATAGGAAGACATTTGGATTTCGCCTTCAACAGTGCATAGCAAAATTAAAAGATTCAAGGCATGTGGAGGAATTTCAGTGCGTAAAGGACAAGGGTGGAAGCCTAAGCTGAACAACCTTGATCTCTGATCCCTCAGTTGGCGCTCCAATCTCTCAGGTGGCACTGTCATCATTCATCTATAACCAATATCACCACAAGGCCTGAGGACTTCTTTGGCAAACCTTTGCTAAGTACAACAATACTTTGTTACATCCACAAATATCAGTTAAAACTGTACTGTGCCAAGAGAAAGCCCTATGTTAACAGTGTCCAGAAGCACTGATGACTTCTGTGGGCTCAGAGGCATCCGGGATAAACCATAAGACAGTGGAAACGTGTACTGTGGTCAGATAAATCAGTATTTCAGGTTTTTTTTTTCAGAGAAATGGACGCCGTGTGATTTAGATCAAAGAAGAAAAGGGTCATACAGACTGTTAGCAGCCACAGGTCCTAAAGCCAGGGTCTGTTATGGTATTGACCTTATTCTAAAATGTAGAAGTGCGCCTGTTTTCGCGATTGTTTCAGAACTTCCGATTTAGTCGCCTATGAGAGAAATGACTAGGAATAATAAACAGTAGAAAACGATCAAACTACTTGCTCTGCAAACAAATGTTTGCATGACTATACAGACCAAGTATAATAATATAATAATAAAATATCAGTTTGCAACATCAAACCGCCAAACGAGCAGTTTTTAATGTCTAAAAATGGATGGAAGTGAATGAGACCGGAAGTCTCGAGCCAAAAAGATTCAAATAGCTGCTCCTGCTGGTCGGCGAAGAATGAGGTGAATAGGGTTGTATCAGTGTCCCTGGCAAAGGTAGCTTGCACTTCTGTGATGGCACCATTAATGCTGGAAAGTACAAATTTTGGAGTACAGCTACTTGACTGGTCTGCCTGCAGTCCCGACCTGTTTCCAATAAAGAATCTGTGGTGCATTTTGAAGCACAAAATGTGACAATGAAGACCCTGTACTTTTGCACACTTAAAAACTTACACCTGAAAGACTTTTCACTTGGAGCCTTCAGTCCCTAAACTTCTTTTAAGTGTTGCAAAAAGGAATGGCTTTACTGTTCCAACTTTTTTTAAAATGTGTTGCAAGAACCAACATTGGAATATGTGTTTATTTAAAAAAAATGATTGAGAGATTGAGGGATTGAGGGCGAAGTCCTTATTTATAGTGTTTATATGAACACGATTATCTTTATAATGATATAAATTGTGATTATGTGTATATGAAATTACAAATGACAAATGTAGCAGGGCATTAAATTACTGTTTATTTCTTTGCATTTTAACTTTGTAAACTATAAAATCATGCATCTCCTTACAGTTTGGGTCTCATTTTGTGAGCTAACTGACAGCAGTTTCCCCTGCTGTGCTGGCCACGCCCACTCCTGCCTCTGATTGGGAAGCTCCACACCCATTATGATGCATTTTTAAAAAAAAATTCTGAGGTAGACTTGAAACGAAAGTGCGGGGTGTCATGCCCTTTAGCTGTGGTCACACTAGAGTCTGAGCTTACGAAATTCTGTCATATGGCGCTGTGAAAAGGGGTGGGATTAAACAAGATGTTTAGACATTTAAAAAAGTGAGCGATTGGTCCATGTTTTAAATTTCTGTGCAGAGAAGTCATGTTTTTATCTTCGATTGGTGTCACGCAATCATGTGATGCGATTTTGCAGGTCAGAGTATAGAAGAGAATAGAGAATAGAAGTCTATGGGGAGAAAAGTCCAGTGTGACCGCAGCTTTCTTGCTAAATGTTGGAGTTATGTAAACTCTTTTTACATTTTAAAGTTTGATGAATGACTACTACTACTTTCCTATAACTAGAACGGTCCTAGGGCCTACTCACACTATACTATCCGAACCATGCCCAGGCCTGTTTCCCGGATTGTTTGAGAAGTGTGAGTGCTCTGAATCTGGCTTAGGCACGGTTCACTTGGCTGGCCCTAGCCCGGTTGGATGAGGTGTGCCTGAGTCCAGTTCACTTGGGCTTTAACGCGCAAGTTTGGGCTTTTGGCAAAACGCGCCAAAGCCCAAAACTGAAAGCAAGACGTGACTTTTAAAGGACTTTCTTACTGTTCAATGAACGCGAGCTGTCGTAGTTTATTAAAGACACAAACCCCTCACTGCACCACAGCTGCGCCTTCAGCAAACCTCCTAATTCCTGCACCACGAGGACTTTATGATTGTTTATGAGTGTCAAAAGTGGCAGATCTGTTTGGCGAAATATTTGACTGTGTGTCACCGCATCCCAAACGATTAAAACAAAGTAACAAGAGAAATCTCCAATAATCTGTAATGTGAGTGCGGAGCGTCGGGGGAGACGGGAGGGGGGACAATCGTGCTTTAGTCCCCTTCAAGGCAACTGTACATAATGTGAGTATGCCCTTAGCGTATATTTTCACAAAATTGGTGTCAATTAAAATGGAAAGTTTTTTCTTTTTGTATTTTGTGAAAAGTTTTGAATACATGCAAAGCTATTAAAATTCCCACCTTTTGCGTGGATATTGGAAAATGATTGAAAATTTTGTCATGCCAGGCCAATACATGGCGATATTGCATTTATACACATCTGCACATGCGCATAGTCCTATAGTTCACCAATGTTGTTTTGGTTGTTCAGTACTCACTCATATCTATAGACTGAAGAAATAATAAGATTCACATGATGTCACTGTTTTTACTAAATCATGTTTTATTCACCTTATTTTTCGCATGTGAGCGGATGCAGCCATTTGAATCTTTTTGGATCGAGACTTTCAGTCTCATTCACTTCCATTCATATTTAGACCTTAAAACAGCTTTTTATGCTGCTTGATGTTGTAAACTGACATTTTCTTATTATATTATTCTACTTTGTCTGTATAGTCATGGACCCACTTGTTTGTAGAGCAAGTAACTTGACCGAAGTTCTAAAACAATCGCGCAAACGTGCACACTTTCGCATTGAAGAATAAGGTCAATTAGTTAGTGATAGCTATTATTTTCGAAACATTATGAAGATGTAATTTTGCAATCAAGTAAAACATTTATGACATTAAAGCATCGTAATTAATTTACTTGGGGTTTCCTAGGAGTGCTTTGAGAGTTTTGACATAAACTCTCTCTTAACTGCTTTAATTATAATTAATGGGCTTTAATTATGAAAATTATCCTGAAAAGGAATCACAAATGAGTAAACGTTTAGTGGTGCTTCTGCTAAAGCTGGAATAAATTATTTATGATAATGAATAACTAATTTCTTGACTATCATTTTAAGAATATCTTTTACTGCTACCATTTTTGTTTCATATAGCTTTAGCCTACTGAAGATATTACAAATAAATTGAGCAAATTAATTTTAGCTCTAAACTTACTGCAAGTTATGTTGTGTATAAATTTATAATAAATATGTGGAAGTCCAACAGTATTAGTTCAGCTTATTAGAACAAAAGCCTAAATTGAGAAGAAGGATTTATATATTACATTGAGTTTGCTAAAACGGAATGTTTTTCTTTAATTACCTATTTTCTAACTCATCATCAGACCCTTAAATATGTTATTTATCACGAATGTGAATTCATGTTGTTTCCAAATATATTTTTCACTTGAAAAAAAAAATCATAAAACTGTAACAATCCAGTGTAGTGCATTGTGCCCAAGTTATGAAATGTGTGTGAGCTTTAAAATTGTTTATTGGGTCAGCCAATTGTTTTCATTTATTTAATTTGAAATATGTAGGAATGTGAAGGTAGTGTACAGGTAGATAAATATGTTTAACGTGGCTGTTTTTTTAAAAGCATAGACGGACATCATTCCGTATTTCAAAGGTTAAATTAAGTTTAAACCTCTTTTCACGTTTACTGTTTTTGTTGTGCGGATTCAAGTATGCCTGGACCAACAGCCTATAGTTTCAACTCTGAAAGCTTCAATTAACTTAACTGCATTTTGGCCAATCAACATGGCATGATTATTAAGAGTAAAAGAAGAACGAGTGCTATTGGCATATGAAGATCGGTGGCTTGAGACGTAGACGTCAGCTTGGCGGGGGGTAATAAAAACTCCCATTCATCCCGAGGAGGGGCATAATTGGCTTGACCACATCTAGAAACCTCTATCTAGAGTATATGTGGCAACAATGCTCTTGTGCATTGGGTGAACTCCAGAACCACAGAAACGATGGGTTAGAAAACTCTCCAAAACTTAAATGGATTACAAAGCACTCTCGTTACAAAACCAAACTCATTAAATCCTTTACACAAGCCATAATTAATGGTGCAATGATTGAGTCTAACGTGAGTCGGAGTTGCGAGTGGTGCGCTGGAGGAGGTGAAGGGACCGGCGCGCACTTGGATGAAAATCACTCAGACCACAGTCTGAGCCCGACAGGACACTTGGTAGTCGCGGTGTGCCTTGGATTCATCGGAACTTTCGGCTTTCTCAACAACACGCTCGTGCTCGTCCTGTTCTGTCGCTACAAAGTGCTGCGCTCGCCTATGAACTGTCTCCTGATCAGCATCTCAGTGAGCGATCTGCTGGTCTGCGTACTCGGCACTCCGTTCAGCTTCGCCGCCAGCACGCAGGGTCGCTGGCTCATCGGGCGCGCGGGATGCGTGTGGTACGGTTTCATCAATTCATTCCTGGGTGAGTCTGCTGTATGTTACAGCGATGTCATTAAAACAATTAAAATAGGGTTTGAATGCACATGTCTGATTAGATGCTTCAATCGCTACAATGTTTTTTTTTTAAATCGTGACAATGCCCTGTTTGTCTTGCCTATTGGAAAGGCTACTTTTGTTTTGAATGCGCATTTTCACAACGTGGCGGAATGTACTTGGCATTCTCATCTAGGACGTTTTAGGAATCTCTCATGTCTTACGTTCGACGTCCTCAAAATGTTAACGTTACTGTACAAGTAAAATAGTGTAGCCTATTACCAGTGATTAAAGTGTGAGAATAGTAGTCAACATTAGAAGTGCATCAAAAATGTTTTTCAAAATTGTCCCAGGACAAGAATGGGTCTTGTTCAATAATGTTAGGACAAATTTGACGAAAGGTTTTGTCCACTTCATACGTTGACTACTAGGCTACCTGTATAGGCTATACATCACACCTTCATAAACTTACCCTGATTTCACGCTTATGTCGTAGCTATATTATTGCTGTAGCATATTTTTTATACATCATTAGCTGTGTGTAAACTGCTCTTTAAGTGTTTTCAAAACAGTTATCATTTATCATTGCCGAAGTTTTATCCAAGTTATTATTAAGATTTCTCGTGAGGTAAATGCGTTTCGCTTCAGAAGCTCCTGTCAGGCTCGTGCGCGCGCTTTTCTTGTCAGTTTAATGTTCTCTTCGCCAGGGAGAGATGCTGATACCCCTGTTCAGCAAGTCTCATCCCTTCCAAAAGTTGCAGTAGGCTAAAATGAATAGCCTAATTGCAATTTACTTAAGTGAGTCGTTGTCATCTGTGGTAAATTGCCTATTGTTGGCGAATATTAGATTGTTGGAAAAGTTCCCTACTTAAAAGATACAATAGAAACATCAGACAAATTTCATTTAAACATTACAAACCATCAACTGTTAACCATTAAAATGTGTACATTTTATTGTTTTAGTGTGTTTTGAGAAATATCTCAATAGGATTTAGTAATTTGTTATTGCCACCAAAATAAACAAAATAGATTTTTTTTCAGCAGTGTAATTGTAGTATCATTAAAATGTTTTAAAATACTTAAATACAAACTCCCAAAGCAAAATTTCAAATATGATCTTAAATTGTTGGGATATAAATTAAGAAATGTGTCTGTGTGTGATTATCTTTGCAGTTTGGTTTGTGTTTGTGTTAAAATAAGTCAATTATATGCTTGTAGTGTTTTACTAGGACATCAATATTACTAACATTTCTGGTAGCTGTAAAAGTGTGGTAAAACATCCTTAAAAAAATAACACAGCAAATTCCACTATAAAATTTCATACTGTATATTGTTCCCTATTTTTATGCAATACAATAAGGGATGTAGTGCACTATAAACCTAGTAACTTATCCATCATATCTGTTTACACATAATAGAAAAGCAGGATGTAACTCCCCCTACTTATAGATGGCAATCAGTTAAACTTGTCTTAGTTATGGTTATGAGTTTTAGATTATGGAGCTACATCTATTTTGCAGTAACTAAAAGTGTACCAAAGTAAAGCCTTTTTCTGAAAATGTACCACAGTAGAACTGTGACATAGTTTGCTATAATGTTCATCTGAGTGACATGTAAATACCACAATACATGAAAAAAACAAAGTACTATCTGATATTATCAATGTACATAGCATTTCTGTCGGTATGTAAACATGATTTCGAACATTACACCAGAGAAAGGCTTAAAAGCGCAATACAAAAGAAAAAAAATCCAATCCACTACTGAAATTGAATGCTTTCCAAGGTTACAACCCACCTTAATAAGTTCATTGTGCTTTTTCAACCACATTGAATTTGTTTACCGATGAAGAAAATGAAGTTGGAATGATTTAATGTGTTGAAAACTCATTAAATAAGTCGAAATGACAAAGATTTGGAAACAAAGCTGATGAAAACATTATTTCCACGGCGCACTATTGAAAAGACTCATAAGTCTTCATAATTGAAAAGACAGATGTGAGGCAGAGGTGTATTCCTCCCCTGATTAAGGTTTAACACTCGACCTGAAAGTGAGGAGAGCTGTGTTCAGCCAAATGGGATAAATGCTGTCCTGTAGTTGACCCATAACACAGGCTCTGTAATGGGACGGAGGCGGGTATAGTGTTTCCAGTGAGCAAAATAGCTGATTTTGTTGATAATTAACAGGTGTCAATTTTCAGATGGTGGAAATCCTTTAGATCGACTAGGCCTGCGTTATATAATGTAAAATCAATGCACAAGAAGTATATAAGAGAAATCTAGTCAGTCATTAACGAATGTTGTTGATGTGTTATGACTGGTCAAAGCTGGTCTGCTAAACAAAGCTAAACGAACAACACTTTGTTCAGTAAAACTATGCTTACGGGAGAACTAAGTGTGCTTTTATAGAGAAAGCCTTTGTAAGCGGTTGTGCTTTTTGAAAGCCTAATGAAAATGGCCTCTCGTTGCTATGAAAAGGCTCATTACTCGCTTTCCTGATTAGCCGTCATCAGGAACCGCCATAAGTTGCTTCAGAACGTCTAATGATGTTAATTGTAAGCAGTGAGTGGACTGTATAGCTACTTGTTTCACTGATCTGTCTTGAAAAAACACTGATAATGTGCTAGCAATGCTATTATACTTAATAGACAAAGATACATTTGGTTTCATGTTTCTTTGAAATATCAGTACCCTGCAGCACATACATTGCCACGCTCAAGACATTGCTTCATCCAGACATGATATGCAATGTCAATGCTGGTGTTGCATATGCAAATCAAGTGGTTAAATATTAAAAACGTCCTTCAAGCTTATAATATAAATAGTCAAGCTTGTAGTAGCACTGTCCTATATGGTTGGTCAAAATTATTAGTCCCCCTGAATATTTTTTCCAATTTCTGTTTAAGGGAACAACAATTTTTTCAACATGTTTTTAAACATAATGGTTTTATTAACTCATTTCTAATAACTGATTTCTAGTAAGTTTGTCATGAAGACAGTACATAATATTTTACTAGATATTTTTCAAGATAGTAGTATCAAGGCTTAAAATGCAGTTTAAATCCTTTTCTTAAAAGGGCTAAAAATATTGATCTTAAAGTGTTTTTTTTTCATTAAAAACTGCTTTTATTCTTGCTGAAAAGAAAAAAAAAACTTTTTCCAAAAAAAAAATATTATAGGAAATAGTGTGAAAAATTCCTTGCTCTGTTAATCATTGTTAGGGAAATATTTTAATAAGCAAGAAGGGAGGACTAATAATTGTGGCAAGAGGACTAATAATTGTGGATTCAACTGTATATCGTATGGATAAAATACAAACTCTCTCATTTCATATTGGTTTGCTCTATCATTTAATTTCTGGAGTCACAAAATATATTGTTTACAATAATACCTTTTCATCGTTTGGATGAGCGCAATCTTACGCACAAGCTTGAAAGCACACAAGTTTACGTTTTGCTTTTTATTAGGCAATATTATGTTGGGTCTGCAATCTTTAATATTTGAGAAATATTTTATATTTCATTCGTATTTATATTATTTTACATTAATCAAACATTTGCCTTGAAGTTCTAAATGAAATGAGAAAAAAATTATCAAGAATGAGTGCAATTTTGAGTATATCTTTTAAATTTTTAAAAATAAATGGTCCACTATTTTCCATCTGTTCAGTATTTAGAAACTATTGATTGACTGAACTTACAGAAAAGGTACTACAGTATATTGTGATATTAGTTTTTTTGTTGTATCAGTCAGCCCTGTCTTATAGTCTCTTTCAGCATATTCATTTTTGAGTAAAGGCCTTTCTAAGCAGCTTTTTGTATGACTAAGGTAGAAGGAATTTGCAAGAGTATTTTAATGAAAACTAAATGCAAGAGACCTGAAAGGCAGGTTCATTCTTTGGTTATTGCAAAAAGTAGTACATACAGCAGCAAAGAAATATTGAAATTCACTTACTGTTTGTGACCCAGGGCCACCAATATAAGGACTAATTTGATGAAAAAGAGATTTATACATCATCTGAACGCGGAATAAATAAGCTGTCTATTAATTTGTTTGGATATAGGACAGTGTTTAGCAGAGATACAACTAGTTGATCATCTGGAATCTGAGGCTTCAAAGAAATCGAAGTATTAAGAAAATTGTATTTTAAAGTTGTCTGAATTAAGTTATACTTAGTACCAATCATTCATTTAATTATTAATTTTCCTTAGGCTTAGTTTCTTTATATTCATCAGGGGACACCACATGATGAATGAACCGCCAACTTATCCATTATATTTTTCACAGCAGATACCCTTCCAGCTGCAATCAAGTGCTGGGAAACATCCTTACACACTCATTTGCACACATACACTATATACAGCCAAAATAGCTTATTCAATTTAACTATAGCACATTTGTTTGGACTGTGGCATTAAGAACCCAAAGGAAGTCCACGCAAATACGAGGAGAACATGCAAATTCTACACAGAAATGCTAACTGACTCAGCCGGGACTTGAATCAGTGACCTTCTTGCTATGAGGCGACAGTGCTAACCACTGAGCCACCGTGTTGCCCCATACTTGTTACAAATCATAAATTAAATTAAGTTTGATATATTAATGGTAGGATATTTACAAAATGTCTTCATGTAATCAATACTTAATATTCTAAAGTTTTTTTTTGTTGTTGTTGTTTGGCATAAAAGAAAAATTGATAATTTTGACTTGCTTTTCCTACAAATATACTCATGTAATTTGGTGGTTTTGTGCTCCAGGTTCACATACAATGACATCTGAAATGGAGGAACATAAGAGCCGCACATTAGTATTTTTTGCAATAAGCTTGGTTTCTTAGTATCGACACATTTGTCACTCTTACTCATCACTATTTTAGATCTTGTTTGCCTTGATTGTAGAAAAAAAAAAACCTTCTCATGTGCCTTACCAAGAGACCTTCCAGTCAGTCACATCTCAAATAAGTGTGAACACCTGCTCTTCACAGTTAAAATGACTCTGGCATGAGAGCTGCCTTCAGTTTCAGGTGAGATATTTTAGGATCCCCTTGAGTTTTTTTTTTTTTTTTGCCAGCACAAGTGACAGTACACAGCACAATGGCAGGGGAGGATGGCAGAGTAAAACCAATAAATCACTCCTGTGCAGATGATAAAAAAACAACAAAAACATTTTGGGTTTGTTTACACATTATTAGGGTGCACTTTTTTTAGCGAACAAAGTCTTGTCCATTTTCAGCCTCTTCTAGTGGTTGTTGAAAAATGCATTTGATCAGATTGCGTTCATAATGTAAACGTTTATGCGAACAAATCCATTCAAACAGCCTCAAAGATCAGCTGTATGTCTACTGATTTACGTTTGATGTTTGTATGATCACAATTTTACATTAAATGTGTCATTTGACCTACTGTTTTTCAAAGAACAATACAAAATGGTGTCGAAATTGTTTTCAATTTTAAAGTAGAGAGACTGAAATTGTATTTTCTTGCAATCTTTGTTTAATTTAAAACTTTAAAAAAAGAATAAAACACACACACACACACACACACACAATACATATACAGTCTTATGCAAAATATTGGGCACCCCTCTGTGGCTGCATAATAACCTGCTCTTTCTTTATTAGAGAAGATCGCAGTAAAATGCCATTCGGTTGCTAGAGAAAGCGAGATAATGTCATGTTTTTCAGGCAGAAATATGTAGTGTAGCAGTATTATGTGTGAAATTAAATTGAAACTGAAAAATAAGCATGATACAATGTTCTAGAATGGCCATCCCAGTCTCCAGACTTGAACATCATCGAATGTCTGTGAATTGATTTGAAAAGGGCCGTTCATGCTGGGCACCCATCAAACCTGACTGAACTGGAGAAATTGTGCAAGGAAGAATCGTCCAAAATGCCTTCAGCAAGACTTAAGGGAGTTATCCTTGACTATATGAAGTGTCTACCGGCTGTTATTTTAGCAAAAGGTGGCTGTACAATAGATTGATGTCATTCATCTGTTGGGGTGCTCAAAGTTTTGCACATTTTTGTTAAAGCTTAAAATGCATTGCATCAGTTGATTAAATAAATGTCATGTCAGAACTGAAATGTTGCTTTTTCCCTGTCACTAGCTGTCTCCCTCGTGTGTTTGTTTTCCTCATGTGACCTTCACCATGTGCTACTTTGTTCTAGTTCCCGCCTTCATTATGTCCATCACTATCACCTGCGTCTCACCCCTGTGTCCAATGATTGTCATTATCACCCTGTGTATTTAAGTCCTTGTATTCAGTTCTTCCATTGTTTGGTATTCTCACTACATTGGTGTCTGTCTTCACTTCCTGTTCGCCCTCTGTTCATCTTTGTAAGTCTTATAAATAAATATGTGCTTTGATAATCCTGTGCCTTCTCTGAGTGAACCCAGGCGTTACATTCCCTATGGTATAAAATATATCCAAATAAAAATTGCTTATTTGAAAGGTCAGTAGACTTTGGCTTGCAATTATGAAAATAATCAGGGGTGGCCAATTTTTTTTCTTTTTTTTTTTTTTAAATAAAACTGTATACGGTCTTTAAAGTTAAAATAAATTAAAAATTCAAAAAAAAAAAAAAAATATATATATATATATATATATATATATATATATATATATATATATATATATATATATATATATATATATATATATCAGAGCAAAAATTATACACTGAAAATGATGCAGGTTTTTCTCTTTATTTTTAAATCAAAAACTAACATTGCTTCTCTCGTCTTATATATAAATGGTGTGAACTTATAATTCCTAAAATTAGAAAAATTTAAATTCCTGTACATACACCCACCCATAGACTTTCCCTTCAAAAGGGTCAGGAAAGTGGTTAAAAGAGAACAAAACAGATAGATTAACACCAGGTTTAATCAAAAATGCACTTTCCTTGTCTGTTTGTGATTGATCAAAATGCATCTAGACATAAACCAATAAAACTGCAATTTCTCATTAATTTTCCAGTTAAAGGAACACTATTTCTTGAAAATATGCACATTTTACAGCTCCTTTTAGCTTAGCATAAATCATTAAATCGGATTAGACCACTAGCATCTCACTCAAAAATCACTTTGATTATTTTGTGCTTTGATAATTTTTCTGTTTAAAGCTGTACTCTTTTGTAGGTACATTTACTAAGACTGACAGATCATTTAAATGTTCTTATGTTCTAGGCTGGTGTGGCTAGACTATATTCTTATTTAAGCATAATAAACAAGGAACTTTGCTGCGGTAGCATGGCTGCAGCAGGCACAATGATGTTACTATGTTAATATCATTGTGCTTGCTGCAGCCATGGTACCGCAGGAAATGTCCTTGTTTGTAGGTCTTACACAATGTAACTATAAAAGAGGCAAACTGTAAATAGGAAAATTATTGAAACTTCTGGCGTTTTTGAGTGGGAAGCTAATGGTCTGATTGAATTTAATGATGGATGCTATTGCTAAGCTAAGCCAGAAGTGCTCCAGCCAGATTAGATTCAAAAATGGTAAAACTCAACTGTTTTACTCCAGGGAGAGGAGTAAAATTGGAGAGGGGTCTGGCTGCAGACTCGGTGCAGTGGAATCTGTGCTGCATCCAATGCTTTTTAATGTGCTCACTAACCCGACCCGTCATAGTGACGTCACTCACTCCATTGAGTACATTATGTCTGACATTGCATAACTGAGTGATGCAATCTCAGCTTGCATCATAAAGGCTGCATCCAGATACTATTGTAAAATTGGCCAATTTTCCCCAAAAATGTAGCAATCCATTAAGCAAAGTAAACCCGCAGCATTGAGTTTGTCATATATTTGCAGTGCATGCAATAAAATGCCTTTTACACAATGTAAACAAGCTCTCAAAGCCAATAAGAATCTGTAAGCCTTCCAGGATTGCAACCATTATTTATAACAGAGCAATATGTTGTCTGTGTATCTCTCCTGTGTTGGTACAGGCGTTGTGTCTCTAATCTCTCTGGCGGTTCTCTCATACGAGCGTTACTGCACCATGATGGGCTCCACACAGGCCGACTCCACCAACTACCGAAAAGTGGTCATAGGCATTGCTTTCTCCTGGATTTATTCCATGGTTTGGACTCTTCCACCACTGTTCGGATGGAGCTGCTACGGTCCGGAGGGTCCCGGCACCACCTGCAGCGTCAACTGGGCCGCGCGGACTCCCAACAACGTGTCTTACATTGTCTGTCTGTTTGTCTTCTGCCTTATTCTCCCTTTTATCGTGATCGTCTACAGCTACGGCAGACTCCTTCAGGCTATCACACAGGTAGGTGTCAAAACCTTTGCTGTCTACTACAGCTGATGAGTTATTGATTCTGGAGAAGATTTATGTTTGATATTACAGACTGTTATGTCTGATTTATTGAAGCTTGGCTTGTTTTTTTGAGTTATGGGTTTCACATTAGATTTGGCCTGGCTCACTGGAGTTAACTGGTTAATTGAATAAACTCTGCCTTTCTCCAAAGTGATCTTATGGGTAAATAGAAAGCACTAAATATTAATCTTAAGATGATTTTAATGGTACTACGTTTACTTTAGGGTTTCAGAAATGCTAAATGAGCAAGGAACTTCATTAAAACAAAATTTATTTAAAAAAAAATCCATGCACAGATAGTAGTTTGTGTCACAGTTAAACAGTTTGTGTAATTTAAATTATATATATATTTATAATATATATTTATAATATATATGTGTGTATGTATATATATATATATATATATATATATATATATATATATATATATATATATATATATATATAATGTGTATATATATATATATATATATATATATATATATATATATATATATATATATATATATAAATAATGTGTATTTATATACATTTTATTTACTGTGTATGGCCATACACCCAAAGCACTTCACAATCATAAAAGGGGTCTTTCCACCAGTGTGCAGCATTTCATAACATAATAGTTTTAATAACTCATTTCAAATAACTGATTTATTTTATCTTTGCCTTGATGACAGTAAATAATATTTGACTAGATATTTTTCAAGACACTTCTATACAGCTTAAAGTGATATTTAAAGGCTTAACTAGGTTAATTAGGTTAACTGGTAATTAGGCAAGTTACTGTATAACAATGGTTTGTTCTGTAGACTATCGAAAAAATATAACAAAAGGGCTTGTAATTTTGACCTTAAAATGTTTTTAAAAAAATTTAAAACTGCTTTCATTCTAGCCGAAAAGAAAATTAAAATATATATTTTTAAATAATTCAATTTTAAAAAAATATACCATTTGTTATATAAAATATTGTTATTTTGATAATATTAAAATTGTCTATAATTTTGAGCCATACAATGTGTTCTTGACTATTGCCAAAACTATACCCATGTGATTATATAAGGTTTTGTGGCCTAGGATCATGAATGCTGTTCTTTTGGTCTTTAAATTCATTAGATAATTGAAAAAAAAAAAGTAAAACAGTTTCTTTCCCAGAGTTGGGTTGTGGCTGGAAGGGCATCCGCTGCATAAAAACCTGCTGGATAAGTTGGCAGTTCATTCCGCTGTGGCGACCCCGGATTAATAAAGAGACTAAGCCGACAAGAAAATAAATGAATAAAACATCTTCCACAAAAATATGAATGCTTTTGCATAATTTAAAAGAAAATACACATACAGTAAGTAAATGTAGGACAAAAAAGTCGACGTCAAAAACACCATCAAAGTATCATTTTTCCTATAAAGGTATTATTGTTTTAACAGTGTCTGCTAGGATTTTTTTCAAATACAATTTGTTTATACATATTGCCATGATTGACTTTTACTAAACAAAAAATTAACTATAGTTGAAAATATTAATTTCAAGTTTTTATGCCTGTTTACAGTCTTGGATAATCAGAAACAACATTCATTTTGATTCATTATTATTTTTTGTTTAGTCACATAAAAAAAAGCTTCCACTACATATACATTTCTCAGTATATACATACAAACTCTGAAATACATGCCAACACACCCACATAATTGATATTACATAATTATAATTCATTTGGCCTTCAGTGCTCACTGCTCAAACGAGGAAAGAAAGAGTGATTGTTTGCTCTAAAAACTGTGCCAAAATGTGACATATTTTACATAAAAATCCTAAGCCCTGCCAACTAAATAAAAACATCCACTTCAGCTCTGACTTATCACATCTGAAAAGTCATGCCTATATTTATTCTTGTTTCACCGCAGACTCTGTCACTTTCCCTTTTTTGACTGCTGTGGTTTTGACAACAGGTGATTGTCTAGATGTCACGATGATTGCCGTTTACAGCTTTTTCTATTTAAAGCGGCCATCTAGACGACATGTTTAAATTCTAATCAACTGTCAACTGTAATCAACTGTCAGAAAAGGCAGAAAATCATCCTCAGCCCTGATGTGCAGCAACAAATGATATCCACTGACATTTCCAACGAATAGGACTCAACAGCTCAGTATATACATAAATCACAGTTATTAGGGATAAACAATATATCATCTGCCACATCAATATAGTCTGATAAATGCTTATTTATGTTGCCAGTATTGATAATACCTATATATTAGTCTTTATACAGTTGAAGTCAGAATAATTAGCCCTCCTGTGAATTCTTTATTAAAATATTTTTTCAAATGATGTTTAGCAGAGCAAGCAGTTTTTACAGTATTTTCTATTTGTTTTATTTTGGCTAACATAAAAGCAGTTTTACATTTTAAAAAACTCTTTAAGCTCAATATTTTTAGCCCCCTTAAGCAATAATTCTTTTCAATTGTCTACAGAACAAACCATCGTTAAACAATGACTTGCTTCATTACCATAAATTTCGTAATTAACCATAATTAACCGTAATTAAATAATAGTAAAAATTAAGAGCTTTTCTTTATAACAAACTAAATTATCTGCCAAATGAATCTTTTTTTATTTGAAATTTAGATATTTGGACTATAAACTAGGCAAGAATTCTTATTAATTTGGCTGCATAAATCATAAAATTTCATATAAATTATCGAATACAATAAATCTTTGAAACTCCAAATGTCATGATGTTTTGTACCTGTCAGTCACCAACAATTCAGCCTGTGCAGATTGCTGGTATACACACAGATCGCTAATGGACAACAAATCCACTATTTTAAGAACTACAAGTCCAGTCATGCACCACACACACACCAGTTCTTGATCCCGTTTGTTTACACTCACACAGCTGAAGCTGCTCAAAGACTGATTAGTTGGACTATTTGTACAGCACATAAACACACAGACTTTGCAGAGTCTTGTTATACTGTTTGTGAACATTACGACGTGGTTTCATTGCCTTGCCTTTGCCATATTTTTGACTCTCGCTTGGTTGACTCGCCTTGTTTGTTTGTTTATATTGCCTGCCACCTGCCTGTACTGACCATCTGCCTGTTTATAGACCACACCTTTGAATTGCCCGTATACACACCATTCCTATTAAACCTGCATTTATATCCGCACTTCCTTTGTCAGCTTCCCAAATTCACATTACAGTAACTTTCTAGAAATGCTCACAGACCTTAAAAACACATAAAATGTGTTGTGTTACTGTATATATAAATAAATGATAAACTTTTACTCTAATATGGTTAAACTTAGCAGTGACTCTAAAAGTTGCATGTATTCTGTAGCTTTTTTTTACTATAATCCAGACTCAACATTGCATATCTTGCAATCTCTCTATTGCAGATGCGCACATTGATATCGATGCTAAAACAAAATATTGTACAGGTCTAGCAAAAATTATGCATTAAAATAAAGCCTGATCAAATATCATATCAAGATTTGCACTTTTCTATCCCTGCGCAGTGAGGTATTTTCTGCATCGCAAAAGAAATCTAGATCACAATTGTTTGATTAAAGATTTAGAGTAAAATATGACAGACTATTTTTGAAGTATTTGCAAGTAAAATTGTATACATGGGTGCAGTTTATTCATGATAAATCTACAAAAGTTCACTGTAGATCAAGCTGTCTGCCTTCATGTGTCAACATTAAGTCAAGAAAAATGTTCTCAATGCTTTTGAGTGGAAAATATGTCCCTTGACTCATTCACATCACATTGCACCTCACTATTATAACAGAAAACGCAGCAAATTATTAATGCATCCCTGCATTGGAGAGACAATTACCAAGACTAACTTCAGTGTTAATTAGAGTAATATTCACAAATTATTATGAGTTTTCCCAATGACCTTTTTGCACCATTAATTGACAAAAGCACTCAGTAGTCGTCTCATATTAAAAAACACTTAGAATATTTCAGCTCGCGGGCAACTGTGTTTCTCTATGTTTTCCAAAGGAAGCAAAATTAGTTCTTTTTATGTCTACTCACCATGAAATGTCCCATGTTGTCTGATAATCAACAGTCTGCAACAATTGAAAATAATTCTCAATGTTTAGCACATAAACATTGCGCATGCAAATTAAGCACCGTAGTACACTAGTCAAGAGTGCAAATCATCTCAGAATTTGCATGGAGATGGAAAGAAAGTTGTTGTTTTTTATTTGATGTCTCCAGAGTGGCCCAATTTTCTGGAGTAAACAAAACACGAACGCTCTCAAAACTCCCACAATTCCTTCCCGCATCTCACCAAATGGATGAACCAACAGAGGCCACCAACTGCTCACAGCAAATGCACTGCCACTACAAAGCACTTAGATTTGCAACTGAATTACTTTCTAAAGCAACAATGAATGGAAAAAAAAAAACCCTCCTCGCATGCTCCATCTTCTCTGCCTCTTAATCGACTACAATGTATGGAATAGATGTTTCAGCACTTTTAATGCGCTGTGATGTTCGGAAATGTGAACGTTCATGTTTATGTAAATTAGCCCCGTCTAAAATGGGCTATTGATGCTTTCAGTACGGGAAGCTTCACCTTTTTTCGTCTCACTTCATTCAGCTGCAACTCAAAGTCATTGCATTAATACAAGAACTTTCTTCATTGCTGTGTGGAATGTGGTGGTTTGAAGGTCTTCAGTGGTGTAAAGACTACAGAAAAACCATACTCGAGCAAAAGTACCATTAGTTGCCAAAAAATTTAGTCCAAGAAGAACAAAAGTAAATGTATTTTAAAAACCACCTCAAAGGAAACCTAGTAGCCCTTCAGTTTATTTCAGTTCAATTGACTTTATTTGTACCTGTAGGTAGATTTTATTTATTTATTTATTTTTTTGCATTTGAATTTAACAGTTACACCAACTAATCAACTCACATCATCACAGACACACGTTTTCACTGAAAAAATA